TTTTTCAAGGTTAGTGATTTTCTGATCGTGTATATTGCATATATTTTCTGTATATTCTGTATTTTTTTTTTACCGTGTATATGATGTATATTTCTTATCGTTTATTTTCTTTATATTGAAAGAGAGAGAGAGAGAGAGAGAGAGAGAGAGAGAGAGAGAAGACATTCGAATTTCTTATGTGTATATGATGTATATTCTCTTACCTTTTTTCTTGCATTGAAATCTCATAGATGAGTGATTGTAGGAAAGGCAGTTACTTTGAGAGCGCAAGTTTTTAATTGAGATCAAATAAAGTCAATTCAATTGGTATGCCTGCTAATAACATATGACAGTTGGTATATTTACAATATATTTATATTCTTGTGGTAGTTAACAAAAATTCCCCAAAAATCAACGCTGAGGCAGTTATAAGTCAGAGTTAATTGTCAAATAGTTACTTTCTTTTAACAAATATGTGTAAGTTTGTATACAACTGTTATATTCTAAAAAATTGTGTCATTTTTATTTATAAGGCTTGCTTTTTTATCTAAAAAATACTAGAAAGCCTTGTATGTGTGCACAGCCGGCCCAATCTGGATTCGTATACCAATACTATTTGTAATTTTAAACTTGTGGACTCTATACTGTAGAAAGCATTATTTAAAAGCATGTCACATTTACTGAAAACTGAAAAATGTGACCTACTCCATTGATGTGGTGGCTTGTCAGAACCATTAAAATGTTTCATCACTCATTTTCTGAAATGCATCCATTTTTCTTATAAATTCAAGCACAATTGTTGCTTTTGCAGCATTCCACAAGGCTAATTTGTATGTCTGTCCTCTCCAACCAGCCTTACTGCAATTTCAGTGCAAGTGCCTAACACAAAATCTGTGTTAGACATTCGGAAAAACTTCATCAAATGCTTGGATTAAGCTTTTTTGTTTATCAGACATGGCGGTTTGAAACTTCAAATCTGGCTTTAGCAAAATCAAGAACCACTCCAATGTGTCCTTATTCTCTTTGGAAACTACTGTAACTGCTAATGGGAAAATATTGTTGTTCAGATTGACACCAACAATTGTTAAGAGCATGCCTCCATGGGACTTTTCAAATGACATCCATCTACACCAATAAAAGGTCAGCAACCTGTCATAAAACCATCCTTCAATGGCTGAAGACAGACGTAGGCTCTGTCAAATCTCTTCTTTTCATTTTCAACCTCAGACCCTATGATGTAGTACTCTCTGGATTGGTCTTTTTCACCTCTTCAACAAAGTTCCATAGAAGGTTGAATTGCTCGTTTGCGCTCCCTTGAAGGGCTTCCACCGCTAACTTCTTGGCCTATATGCTTGAAGGTTACTAACTTGTACTCTAATTTTATCCATTGCATCTGCCCTAAAACCTTTAACCTTTCTAGTAGGATCTGAGTTGAACCTCTCAACATACTTAGCAGACAACCAGCTTGAAGTTAGGTTTTCTACCTTGTAAGAAGGAACAAGTGTATGTTCACTGAGATATGCCCTAATCTGAAGGTTTCTTCGCCATTCAACTTCAGAGCATGCAATTTCCACTCGCACTCTTCACCTTCACACTTTGCGCATTCTTGTCTTGTCATTCTTTGTGATCTTGATGTTTCTCTTTGTGTTGATGGAAGGAGAGTGAATGGCCTTTCTGAGCTCTAACTTAGTGGAGAAAATCATTCCAATGCTGAAATTTGGATTAAAAATATGAACATGATTAAAACTAGTGAGCCTAGTTCCTTCAGTTTCACTGTCTGAACCAAACCATTGAGACTGATAAGATTGTCATCGCGCTTGGGATTAGATCCTCCTCCTCGATTGGTTAGACTCATCAGCAACGATTTGTTTATCGCCTGGCAACCATTCTACCTCATAATTTACAAACTTTTCAAACAATCTATCATCATCACCAACCTCTTCTTCCAACTCATAATCATCATCCTCAAAATTGGAATACGACCATTGCCCAGCAGAAGATGACGAGGACGCCATTTTTGTCTTAATCTATTTCGGATTTTAGGAAAATGTTAAGAGTTTCATGTAATTTTAGGGATATTCATGGTGGAGGAAAATGAAAGCAGTTTTCCCTCCCAAATTCAAGTAATTAAAGCAATTTGAAGAAATTAGGAAAATTACGGCTTAGTTATTTGCGCTTCGCTTACTTTCTAAGGTATAACCTTCGCCACGCCGGCTAGTATTATTTATTCCACGTAGGATTCAACAGTAAAAATTGGCCCATCGGGCCAAAAAAAAGGACGAAATTGCTTTAATTTTTGAAGTTACCGGACCAAAGATAAAAAGTTGATTTGAAGAGGACAAAAACAAAAAATTATTAACTTAAGGACCACTTGTCTCATTTTATTACCCAGATTAGGTGAGCAAACTCAACTTCCTCCAACTTTTGGCTAGATGTGGAAAAAGACACCACCTATCCAAACACAAAGACCAAAATACCCTCCACCAACCCCCAATTTCTGTATATACTGTGTGTGTATATATTTCATCTTCCCTCCACTCCTCAAAACCTCTCAACCACCCCAAAATGGCCGTCCTTTTCTTCCTCCTCCTCCCCCTCGCCGCCGTCTTTCTCCTCAGCCACCTCTACACCCGCCTCCGCTTCCGGCTCCCGCCGGGTCCCCGGCCGTGGCCTGTCGTTGGGAACCTCTACCACATCAAGCCAGTCCGCTTCCGCTGCTTCGCCGAGTGGGCCCAGTCGTACGGGCCCATCATCTCGGTCTGGATCGGGTCGACCCTCAACGTCGTCGTATCGAGCTCAGAATTGGCCCGGCAGGTGCTCAAGGAGAAGGACCAGCAGCTGGCGGACCGCCACCGGACCCGATCGGCCGCCAAGTTCAGCAAGGACGGCCAGGATCTTATATGGGCCGATTACGGGCCGCACTACGTGAAGGTGAGGAAGGTCTGCACGCTGGAGCTGTTCTCGCCCAGGAGGCTCGAGGCGCTGAGGCCGATTAGGGAGGACGAGGTCACAGCGATGGTTGAGTCCATCTACAATGATTGTGTGACTCTCAATCCTGGTATTTACTCCCCTCTTTTCTACTTTCGATTTTAGTAGCTCGAGAATTGTCTGTTCGTCTCTGTGTGTGAATTGTGAATTAAATGAATTGTGATTTTGGTGCTCCAAAATTTGTTTGAGAATATTGGGTAACAGGGCAATATGGTGAAATGAATTTGAGGGGTGGGCTTGGTAGGTATAGTCATATAGATAACTAATTCTTGAAGCTTTGGTGTGATTACTGCATAAAAGAATAAACAAAAAGAAGTGATCTTTCAGAAACTCAAATGGCTCCCAATTTCTGAGGAAATTTGTTCCTACCTGCCCTTACAGGGTATTTAATGGTTGGATCGACACATATCCATGTGGCTGTGTGTGTAAAAACCCGGGTAAAGGCAGTTCTCTCACTGGTAGAATCAAATTTACCAAATTTCTACCTGTCTTAGATAAGGCTTTCTGCATTCTTTCTTGCAAGACAAAGAAGCTCAGGGAGTTGCATTTTTTCAATATATTTGTAAGTTTCTTAGGGCAGCTACTTGTAATTAAACTGAGTTTTTGTGATTATAAATCAACTGTCGAGACAAATTTGAGAAAATCAAGTGTCAGAGACAAATTCGAAAAGAATTTGTAATACGGTAGCATCAGCAACTCCACTCTGTTCGCAAAATTGCATTGTTTTTTTTAACTATAAATAAAATTAAAGGACATTCAGCCTAAGCGGTTAAGAAAAACATGCAGACAACTCGGGAAAGAGCCTCGTGCTCAGGAAATACCTTGGAGCCGTGGCTTTCAACAACATCACGAGGCTCGCGTTCGGGAAAAGGTTTGTGAGTTCGCAGGGGATCATAGACAAGCAAGGGCTGGAGTTTAAGGCCATAGTCGCAAACGGGCTGAAGCTCGGGGCATCCCTTGCGATGGCCGAGCACATCCCTTGGCTGAGGTGGATGTTCCCGCTTGACGAGGATGCGTTTGCCAAGCACGGGGAGCGTAGGGACCGACTCTCACGGGACATTATGGAGGAGCATGTCGCGGCCCGCCAGCAAAGCGGGGGAGCCAAAAACCACTTTTTCGATGCCCTGCTCACGCTCAAGGATGAGTACGATCTTAGTGAGGACACCATAATCGGGCTTCTCTGGGTGAGTTTGAAATTTAAAAAAAAAAAAATTAAAAAAATGTTGCCTTTTTTCGAGAGTTTTTATCTGGTTTTCTTGCTTGTGCATAAGTCTTGTTTATTCCCTGCAGTTCATTTTAAGATGATCACACTTACTGAGTATCTCGTTTGAATGCCTGAATTTAGTTACATTACATATCCTTGGTTAATGTAGATTTGTAGGAGAATCTGTTTCAGTGACTACTTGAGATTGGATGGCAATTGTTGTGATAAAAAATGAAAATGAGTGAATTATGCAATTTCATGCTAAAACGGTAGCTATCGCGCCCTATACCCTTCTCTGGGTGAGTTCGAAATATAAAAAAATGTTGCCTTTTTTCGAGAGTTTTTTAGCTGGTTTTCTTGCTTGTGCATAAGTCTTGTTACTCCCTGCAGTTCATTTTAAGATGATTACACTTATTGAGCAACTTGTTTGAATGCCTGAATGTACATATCCTTGGTTAATATTGGAAAAGATTTGCAGGAGAATCTGTTTCAGTGACTACTTGAGATTGGATGGTAATTGCTTGTTTGAGACTAGGATTTGTTAGACTTTCTAAGAGTTGCTGGGATTTCTAAAGAAACAAACTTATACGAAATTTCACTCGAAATCCCACCTCCAAGATTAAGATTTCACCGGATTCCTCTAAAATCTGATATCTCAAAAAGTCTCAAAATATCAATCGAAATTCCAAACGAGTACACCCCCCCTAAATGAAGAATGAGTGAATTATGCAGGAAGAATTTTTTCTGACGCTCACTTTACCCTTTTGAATACAAGCATTAGTGACTGCTTTGTGCTAAAACTAAAATAATATTTGTTCATAAAAAATTACAGGACATGATCACGGCAGGAATGGACACGACCGCGATATCGGTCGAGTGGGCCATGGCCGAGCTGATCAAGAACCCGCGGGCCCAAAAGAAGGCCCAAGAAGAGCTGGACCGCGTAGTCGGGCCCAACCGCGTGATCACCGAGCTCGACTTCCCCAGCCTCCCTTACCTCCAGTGCGTGGCCAAGGAGGCATTACGTCTCCACCCTCCCACCCCACTAATGCTTCCCCACCGCTCAAACTCCCACGTTAAGATTGGAGGTTACGACATACCAAAGGGCTCGAACGTGCACGTAAATGTGTGGGCCGTGGCCCGCGACCCGTCCATGTGGCGGGCCCCACACGAGTTCAGGCCCGAGAGGTTTCTTGAGGATGACGTGGACATGAAGGGGCACGACTATCGGCTGCTCCCGTTTGGCGCTGGGAGGAGGGTTTGCCCGGGAGCTCAGCTCGGGATAAATTTGGTGACGTCCATGATCGGGCACCTACTGCATCACTTCGAGTGGGCCCCACATGGGGAGATTGATATGGCCGAGAGCCCAGGGCTCGTGACCTACATGCGGACCCCGCTTGAGGTGGTGCCGACTCCGAGGCTGCGGGACAAGGAGCTGTATAAGCGGGTCGCGGTCGATGATATCTGAAAAAGTCCGATTGGTTGGTTGCCNNGAAAAAAAAAATTGGGGTGGTTGGTGAAGATGAAGCTATGGGGAAAAATGCTCAGCATCTTGTGATGGGTAATTGTACTGGCAACTAGTAAATAAGAGTTTGCTTCATTTTTCATGCAGTGAATGTCAGATCGTCTGTTTGCACTTAAGATCATCGGTAGACTTGACACATAGATCGTTGCAAAATTATTCTAAAATTTTGTTGTTTCAATACTAGGATCATTAGCAGACTTGATTTATCATACAGATGGTTAACTGAAAATCAAAATAAAATTGGTCATTAAAAAACTGCTCCTCTTTTGCTCTTTGACTCTTTCCTTTACAGCTATTTTTTAATCACTTTTCTTTGTGGACTGTTTTTCAGTCATTCAGCTGGTTTAGTCAGTTGTAACTATATTTAAGGTGCATTTGTTCGGTTAATTATTTTAAATTGAATTTTTCTATATCTTTTTGAAAAGTCGAATTTTAGGTAAAGTTGTATAAACAATTTATATATTCATTTTAAAACAAGTTTTAAAATATGACTGGAAGTATTTTCTGTCTTAAATCAATTTATGCAATATGGTGTACGCATACCATTGAGAATATATTGGGTATGTTGTTGTATTTGTTTTTACATATTCGTGTAATGAATGGAGTACTGTACTAGCGAATATATATGGTTTGATTGGTGATATTTAAAAAAAAATGTTGTTATGTTTCACTGTAAAATAAGAAATTCAATGAGCATTTTTTTTCAAAAAAAAAAATCCTGCGTACCCTCAAAAGCTCAAGTTTTTTGACTTAGAAAACCATGAGCTTGCTAACAAACAAGAAAAGCCGGCCATCTTTCAAGAATTACATAATACCTCATCATTTTGTACATGCGCAAAAAATATATGGTAATTACAAATCTCAAGGAGATGCAAGCTAAAATCAGGAGTACTTTACGGAATCATTATGTAAATAAATAATAGAAAAATCATTATTCAACAGTATTATGCATTTAAGCTTCCATTCCACACAACCAATAAATGTTTGTCCAAAGCTCATAATCATAGTACATAAACTCAATTCAGTAGCATATAGCTCAGAAGTACACAATGGAGAACTGAATGAAGTAAAAATCTCAGAAAAATAACAAGCCACCGGGCAATCAACATAGGTTCGCGCGTGGGATACACGATACATATATATGTTCCGACACATCACAAGAACAAGTCGGAGGCAAACACAGCCTTAACATGGCTGCAATCACACACAGCATTCGTACAATACAAAGTACAAACACAGAAAAATGGCGAACACGAGTACTTTTTAGAAGTCTGGCAATAATGAGGAAGAATCGGACACTTGGCGAACGGGCGGCATGTTATTCCAGGAACAAGAACTTTTTAGGCCACGATTAGCTAATCTGTTGTCACCTACAAGAACACCATCAGTTAATAACATGGGGCAGCTTTGTTGCTTCTCGTTTGGCCCGATCCAGCTACCGAAAGATCCCAGTATTGCATCTGGCCTATAACGCTCTAAATTATTCTGAACTTTTTCGCTTCCATAATCCAGGATCCAACTTTCATTCAACACCTCTGATTTCACGTCACAAGCTGTATATAATGAATACAAGAAATTCCATTATGTGACAGAACCGATCTTTTTGAGGTTGTTTGCTTTTACAACAACATAGCCTTTTAGTCCCAAACAAGTTGAGGTAGGCTAGAGATGAAACCCAAGAGAATCAATGGTAAGAGAAACACAAAAAGGGCTCAAAATAAAAGAGATTGGAGCAAAACGAGAAAGGAGCAAAAGTCACGGTTGTTTGCTTTTAATAGAAAAAAAAAAGAAAAAAAAATAAGGAACTTTCTTGGACAGGGTAAGATCAAGCAAAAAGCGTGCATTCAGCAATTTATTTTGAGTAGAAGTAAAATGTTGACCTCCATTTCAGAACGAAAACTCAATCCAACAAGGTGAAAATCTGGTAATTTCAGGACCTCCGTTTCACATTGGAAGAGTTCATTACAACTAATGTAAAGCTAACTGACATTAAGTTAAAGGTACAGGATATTAATACATCAAGATAGAGTTTAAGCCACAGGCAATTCCTACTTCAGGTGTATCTTAATTCTCATCCCTTTTTTTTTTTTTTTCTCGTATTTAAAACATATGAATAATGGATCACTTTTCTTTATATTCTTACCAGACATAGCATCTTGTAATGAACTGCCAATGTCACCAGTAGGAGTGTGAACATCGGAAATCAATCCCATCGAGTAACCTAACGGTGAACCTTGATCGAGGTAATCTTTGACCTCTGTGGAGCATGTTTTTAAGGCAGAACTGTTTCCATGGCTGTAATTAGATGAAGGGCTCCAAACAGAGGACTGATTGCTTAGAGCCTTAGCCTCATAAAGTAAATCCTCCAAGAGACCACTGCTTCCTGGGATATGACAATTCGAAGAAAAAAATGGCCCTGATAGAGACAGTGGAGGAGAATGAACTATGGGATCCATTGATTCATCAAGTGTGGGGTCCCACAGACCAAAACTGATCTGCTGATATTGGAGTGAAGGGAGCTCCAACTTCTGAGCACCTGAAATGGGCTTAGAAGCAGAGAAAATTACATTTGACGTATGATGAATATCCTGATTGGCACCAAACGGCAACAGTTTCTTGGTGTGGTCAGGGCCATAAGTGAACTGCAGGCCTAAGGACTGAGGCATTTTGTTAATGGAGCCATCAGTTAGTGACCGCTCAAAAGGAAGTGCCTCACGAGGAGTACCAAAACCATTACCCTTTGAAACACGGCCAGAAATACCATGAAATTCTGGAGCGTATGGTAAAATGTCGTAACTATCAAGCATGTTATCAGGAGTCCCATAGCCACTGCTATGCATGATTTCATGACATCCATTATCTCCAAAAATTCCAGGTGAACTAAACTGTTGTTGATTCTGTGGATGGGCATGTAAGGGCATATCGGGAGGATAAAGCGGTAAACCAGCTCGTTGACGCCTTTTTATTCTGGTATTCCAATAGTTCTTTATCTCATTATCAGTCCTTCCTGGCAACTGAAATAATAATAAGGAAAAAACACAAGCACCATGATGTTAAAGTATTATTAAAAGTAAGTATCCAAATGCAACAATTTCAAACATCATATTATATCCCAACATGCAAAAGACTGTAAGCCAGGAATTAAACACAGCACAAAAGGTAAAACAGATCAACTGCTAATTCTTGAAGAACATTTGCATGAGCAGATAATTAAATTGATGTTTTCTGTTCTTTTGCCCCATTTATGTCTCTAATCTGAGCTTCAGTAATAAACTCATAGAAGAGTGAGTGTCAGAAAAAAGCTATACTTCTTGGAAAGACTTAGTAACATAATTACACCTATGGCAACCTCAGATATGCACATTGTAGTAGGAGCTATTCCAGTGCTTGATTCTTCAATAGGAACCAACCTAATTTATATTTGATATGCTCACAATGGAAACCATGTTCTTATATATGTTTTTCATACACCAGAAACTCTAGAACAGAATCATAGGCACAATTTGTTTGACGCAACCTATAAATCAAAGCCTGACAATTAGTCACATGGTCCTTCCAATTAATACCATGGAACATTACTTAATATTGATTCCAAGTTAAAAAGACAAAATATATTTCAGTTCCTGATAATTGCAGAAAAGACCAATTAAGTGGTTACTGGAGCTTACATGTGCAGCCATTTGTGCCCATTTGTTCCCCATCTTAGCATGAAGCTCGATTATTAGCCGCTCTTCTTCTGCTGTAAATGCTCCTTTTTTTAGGTTTGGCCTCAAATGGTTTGCCCATCGCAAACGGCAACTTTTCCCACACCGTGAAAGCCCTGAGTGTTTCTGAACTGCATTCCAGTTGCCTTCTCCATGCTTTTTCACATAATCGACTAAAATTGCATCCTCTGCAGCTGTCCACGGGCCTTTCTTCAGAACAACGCCTGGGCCTTTCAAACTCCCGCTCAAATTGTCACCATCATTGCTGAAAGGCGAGTCAGTAGAGAAAAGGCCATCTTCACTTTCGGTGGTAATGCAGCGGCCCATTTTGTTCTTTTACTCTCCGAGTAAAACTACACAACTCGATAGTTCACCAGCATCAAATAATCCCACAACCCTGGAAACAATTGCCAGATAGAGGGGCCCAAGAAAAGAGAAACAAAAAAAGATCACACGAATGTTATGCTGGACATGGAAGTGGCTTCATATTGCTTTCCAAAAAGCTACTTAAAGTCTTAATCATGCTACCTTATAAATCCATCATGTTGATATATAGGCAAAAAGTATAAATCATAAATAGCTGCCTGATGGATTTATGGCACTGCCCAGAAACTCTTAACATGTAAAGATAATAAATCAATGATCTAACACTAGTGGCCATAGCTAGAAATCTATGTGCCATAACCCATAAAAAAGTTTTCAGCTCAAGTCTGGTCCTACGCTACGCAGTAATTGCCATAGCAAATCAAGTTCTTATAATAAGATTACCATTTACCACTAAATCTACAAATACGAAAATTGCCCATTGGAATTACCAACCGTTCCCCCAAGGAAAAGCAAAATTACAGAGAGAGAGAGAGAGAGAGAGAGAGAGAAGAAACAAGTCAAGACTGATCCCCATCCCATCAACAAAAACTATTCCTCAAAATTGCATCACACAAACAATTATTATCACCACTCCAAAAGCAACACAATTTTACCAAATACAGACACAGTAACGGTAATTCCCACTTCATCTACGAAGCCATTAAATGCATTCCCTCAAACAAACCATAAAATCAACACATAGAATCCCGCAATAAATGAAGGGCTGACCTAATAATTGCAAACTTTCCACGTCCCCTTAATCAATCAAGCTCTCACTTTCTCGATTTTGCTACTGAAAAGCAACATACAGCCCCAAAAAATCAAACCGATACTTAAAAAGTGAAGAATTTACCTGATTTAGGAACAGCTCAACGGATTGAAGGAGCTCGAGATCAGAAAAATCAACGAGGGAGTAAATGGAAAAAGGGGGATTTTCAGAGGTGGGTAAAGGGAAATGGGTATCGAAGAAATCCAGAAATAGAATGGCGATGGGAGCTGTATGTATCTATGTATACATACATACGTGTGTATGTATAGATGCGTACACAGAGTTCAGCGTATTTGTGTGTGCGCGGAAGTGTGTAGAGAGAGAAGAAAATTGATTTGGGCAAATTATGTAAAAATGGGTAGAGAGAGTACAAAGCCGGCAATCTTTATTTGGAGTCGGATCGGTACCCGTACCCGATTTAAGAAATTTTGAAATCTTAAAGCTTGCCCCTTAAATGACTTTTGAGAGGGATGCAAACAAATCAAACCACCAAGAATCGAGCTGAAATCAACGCTCAAGTTTGATCGACCTTCATTTTATAATATGTATAGTTGGGTAGTGCACGATATATGAGTTGCTCGTATATACATAAATTATAAAATACTAATAATTAGATATATTTTAATTGAAAATTTGAGCCAAATTTTAGATAACCTTGAGCCTTTGTGTGTGTGTGTGTGTTTTTATTTTTTTTAATGAATTGAGCCTTAAAATACTCGGCTTGTCAAGTTCGAGCAACTATAAAAAAAAATCCGAGTCTAACTTGATAAGGTCAATGTTTGACTCGTTTACAACCCTAACTTTCGAGATACTGGAAAGTCCTACGAATTGGTGATAAACCTAGTTGAGGTGGGTCTACCTAACACAGAAATGCTATGAATAGGGTTCTCTTACACCTATAAATAGGGTTCTCCTCAAAGTCACAAAACACACCTAAAACACCTAAAAAAGATCCAACACCTCATAAATCAAAGTCTCAATTCAAAGAGCTCTCAATAATTCTCTTGAAGATCCAAAGGTGTTCTTGAAGATCCACAACATTCAAGCCGAGTTCGTCGAGAAGTTCAAGCAACATAGCGTTTGATCCGGGAAAAAGCTCTCAAGCCCTCGAGTCAATATTATTCAAGTCTAAATTCATCTTCTAGAAAGATCGAAGAAGCAAGTCCTCCAAGAAGTTGTCTTCAATCAAACCAAGTCCTAACGTTTAATTCGGGATCAAGTCATTCGACCCCCCAATTAACGTTAGACAAATTCAAGCTCAAGCATGAAGGAGATCCAATCGTCAAATCCGGCTTCAAAGATCCAAATCCAAATCCATGAAGAGAAGAATCAGAGGAGATATATAGAGATTGTACCCGCAATATCATTTGATCAATAAAATCAAGTAGTACAAAAGTTTTATGTTTTAATAAAATTTGTTGTTACAAGGTCGTACCAAAAATAAAAAATCAAGTGGACCCCACTCCATGTGAGTATTATGTACACCTCTATATACATTTATTATGTACTTGTAGCATTTTCCAAATAATTATATCCAAGTAATGCCTTGGGTTTTACTCAAATTAGTTGATTACTTGCAGCAACTAAAGATAAAGTCGTGACTGCTAATATTATCAGGTATGGCCTAATACATCATCCAAAGCACAAATTTACAAAAAATGTAGGTTTTTATCAGTTTCTTTAGAAATTATACTCCACAAAACTTATGAATGAGACAGTTATAAATGTATAATGACATTTTTATTCTGAGCAATCAAAATGAGTTATCAGAATACATATTCCAATATCAATATATCTTGGTAATCAAAGTTAACACGAATATTAAANAAAATCACATTTACAAAGAAGGAATAAAAACACCATAATCAATGAGGAGATTTTTTGTGATGTAATTTTTTTGGGGGTTTAGCTATAAAAGAACTCGCCATACCCCAAGTTGTGCATGAGGTGATGCAAGCAGTCACAATTTCCATTCCCAGTGCACATACTAAAGTCTTTTTGGCATATAGAGAACTTATGTATATCCTTGAAACACCCTTTCATTCTATTGTAGGGAACAGTAATGGTTTACAATAGTGAGAGAGAGAATAGAGCATTCAACGATTTATTATCTTATATTTCTATCAAGAACAAATAGAATACGAGGCTGAATTCAGTTACTTATTTGGAATTTTGTCTAAAAGTTTTATTTTCTCTTACAATTGAATACTATTGGAGAACTCGCAATTAAAAATGAACTTCGAAGTTGATGTGCCTTGTAGAAGCTTTCGATATTTACCGTTTTCTCATACGTGTAGCCGTTGTCTGATGGGCAAATTCGACCTTGTCGATGAGGACACTGTACTAATTATCGAATATTTTATAGTTCAATCACACATTTTTAATCTAAAAATATAAATTTTTAGTCCCCTAGGTTCCCATTCCTATTTACTAACTTCATAGCGAAGTAATTTAATTTAATAAAATAATTTTTAGGATTTGTCAATTCCGTGTAATACTTATTGTTTTGGAAATACAATTTATGTAATAATATTTATTTTTTTATGAGTTTTGTCCAGTCATTAATTATTGGCATATATCAAATATATCCTACTGTCACTTTGTTCTCGTCATATTATTATTTTTTTTTGTACTATTATTTTCTAATCAACCTCAAATCGTCGTTGAAGCAACTAGAAAATTTCAAATTGGAGTCGGATGGTGTCAGATCATCTCCGCTGTTAGTTCGGGTGGAAGATTTTACGAACCGTGGGCAGCAGGAGAAACCTTTCCGGTTTCTAGCGTCATGGTTGCTCCACGAAGACTTCGAAAATTTAATGGAGGGAGTATGGACAGACGGGAAACCTTTTCAAGAGGCGGTACTTGATTTCCACACTCAAGCAAAGTCATGGAATGTGAATGTCTTTGGCAACATATTTAAACGAAAGAAAGAATTATTGGCGAGACTTGCTGGTATACAACGATGTTTGCAACGTTACCATTCTACAAAACTTTAGGGCCTAGAGGCGGTTTTGAGGAAGGAACTGGATGAAGTTATGGTTCAGGAGAAGATTCTTTTAATTGAGAAGTCCCAGCGTGATTGGACTTTATTTGGTGACCGAAATACGGCATTCTTTCACTGCCGGGTTAAATAAAACTCAAAGAAGAAAAAATCGAATCCAACTCCTTCAAGATGAGAGTGGCAGGCTTATCGAGGATCAGTCAACAATGCAGACATTCGCTGTGAGTTTCTTCACGCAATTATATACAGAAGAGGGAACAACCAACGAGAGTCTCCACTGGCCGAATTATTTTCCTCGGGTCGAGTGCTCAACGTGTCGTGTTGAACCGGTCAATCTCAGACGATGAAATCTTTAGAGCCCTGAACGAAATGCCGCCACTTAAGGCACCGGGTTCGGATGGCTTACATGCCATTTTCTTCTAGAAGCAGTGGCGGCATGTAGGTAAACCAGTATGCGATCTAGTCCGCCAGATTTTACATGACGGTGTTATGCCAGACGGGATAAACGACACAATTATTGTCCTTGTCCCAAAGGTAGACGATCCACAGGAGTTAAAAAAATTTCGACCTATTAGCCTATTAAACGTAGTCTATAAGCTCACGACCAAAGTCTTGGCAAATCGACTGAAGCCTATATTGCAGAGATTAATTGGGCCAGCGCAATCGAGTTTCATCCCGGGACGCTAGAATTCTGATAATATTATTATGTCCCAGGAGTTGATCCATAGCATACGAAGGAAGAAAGGTAAAACCGGCTTTATGGTCGTCAAGGTAGATCTGGAGAAGGCGTACGATCTCTTACGGTGGGATTTTGTTGTTGACACTCTTAAACTCGCTGGCTTTTTGGATAACATCGTGCGCGGCATATCGACGTGTATCTCTTCAGCCTCGATGCGGGTTCAGTTTAACGGGCAGGTGAGTTTAACTGGACAAAGCAGAAAACCGCCTCTCGGGGTGGAAAGCGGCTTTATTATCAATGGTGGGTCGAGCTACTCTAGTACAATCGATAGTGAGTTGCTTGCCTTTCTATACTATGCAAACGGTTTTACTTCCGTATTTTGTGTGCGATGAATTAGAAAGGAAGTGTCGAAGATTTTTATGGGGAAGCACAACGACCGATAGAAAGATGAGCTTGGTGGACTGGGGACTGTTTGTGAGCCAAAGTGTTGCGGAGGGTTGGGAATTAAGAATCAACGCCTGATGAATGAAGCGCTAGTCATGAAGCTAGGGTGGATCTTTTTAACCAAACCGGGCGTCCTGTGGGTTCGGGCTTTGAAGGTGAAGTATAAACTAACTCCACTCGAGATGCATGAAATTTTTGAATTTCCAAAAGGATTAGCCGTACTCCAGGCTCTGAGCAAGGTGTGGCGTAACGTGATAACGGGAATACGGTGGTCTTTGGGTGATGGCCGAAGGGTGCTATTCTGGTGGGACCGCTGGCTGAATTGCAAGGACTCGTTAATTAGCCTTAATATTGGCCCTGTACCGGAATCACTATTATATGCCACCGTGGATTTCTTTGTTGATGAGTGGGGACTGTGGAAATGGGAACTCTTCGACCATCTACTCCCAACAACAACTAGGCTATGTGTGGCGGCCATTCTACCGCCGCGAGTAGAAGCTGGTGCAGATAAGATTTACTGAGGCTATTCGCACGACGGCGTATTTGCGATGAAGTCAGCTTACGAGAGTCTGCTTCACCCGGAGAACCTGAGCTCTAACAGATTATGGAAGGTCATCTGGTCGTGGAGCGGTCCTCAGAGAGTTCAAAATTTTCTGTGGTTGGTTGGTCGGAAGAGACTTCTCACAAATTCTGAACAGTGTCGGCGAAAGTTGACATCTGATAATAGATATAATATTTGTCCAACTCAGGAGGAGACTTTGCTGCATACGTTGAGGGACTGCTCCAACGCCTCTTCATTATGGGAAAAGTTAGTGCCTCGAGTCACTTGGAATGATTTTAATACTTTGGACTTGGAGGATTGGTTGGTAATAAATTTGACAAATGCTCGAAAATTGGATGTTTTGGATTGGGATGTAATATTTGGGCTTGCTATATGGCGTATTTGGAATGCACGTAATCGGAGAATTTTTAAAGGAGAAGCGTCGTGTGTGGGCGGTTTGTTGAAAGAGATCGAAACTTGGAAGGGTAATGTCTCCGCAGTTATTAGGGGAGAAAGACGGTTGGGAGGTTTCGTGGTCGTACGGGAGATGGTGTGCGTGAGATGGATGGCCCCTCCTGGGGGTTGGATTAAAATGAATTCGGATGGCACCTTTAACCCATCGTCGGGGATGGCTAGCGCCGGTGGAGTATTACGTGATCATTTTGGACGGTGGTTACAGGGATTTACCATGAATATCAGTTTTTGCTCCATCACAGGGGCGGGATTATGGGGGCTTTTCCAAGGGCTCCAACTAGCATGGAGCTCGGGTTATCGTCGGGTAATTGCGGAAGTGGATAGTCTATGTGCCTTCTCGATGATCCAAAGTATCAATGTTGAGTATGGGATACATAGTGCCTTAATCTTGGCCATTAAAGATTTGTTGAAGAGGCAATGGTCGGTGAGGTTATGCCATGGATTCCGAGAGTCCAACTTCGTGGCGGATTGTATGGCGAGAATGGCTACAAGGAGCCCGGGTGGTTTCCAATCTTTCGATGTGCCGCCGGATAAGGTTCGAGAATAGTTACACCACGATATTGTCGGGGTTTCGTACCCTCGACATGTACCGATTTCCAGTACTTAGGCGTTAGCCTCTCTTTTTGTACCAAAAAAAAAAAAAAAGATCCTACTGTTAAATATTTTCAACCTTACATTTCTACAAAGTCAATTTGTAGAGTTTTAATTGATATCTTTGGATAAAATATCGAAAATTGTGTTGATGTTCCAAGTTACATCAAACGCTAAAGTTTTCTTCGTTGACTTTGACTATCGATTTTCAGTCCTTCATTTGTCAAAAATTAGTGAATGACCTCTTATTCGGTTCGATTCTCTTTATATAAAAAAGACCTCGATTTAACATGGTTGCAATTTCAATAACACTAGTATTCAATCCTGTACATTTACACAGATATAAAAATAAAGTATTATAAGTTATTTGTATGCATATAATATTAAAAATTATAAGTTAGATAATGATATTATATTTTAAATTATAATATAGAGTATTATAAGTTATATTTATGCATATAATAGTAAAATTATAAGTTAGATAAAGGTATTATGTTTTAAAATTCGATCATCGATTAAAATAAATAGTATACAACGATTTAAATGCATATGAGTCACTATATTGATTGCATAAAATACAATAAATAATATAATTTTTGTAATTTTGATGGATCAAGACCAATTAATTAGCTAAAAAATATTAAATTTATTATAACAATTACTTATGCGATTTTAAGGAATTTTACTATGATATTAAAATAAAGTAATTTATTCAAAATAATATTTTAATCAGATAAATAAATATAATATTAATTTTAGATAAAGAACTTGAACAAAAAAAAAATTATAATATAATTTTTTATGTTTATGTAACTTTCACATATCATTTAGTGCAAAATATAATTATTAATTTTAATAATAACAATTATATGATACATAAAAAATATAATTATTATTCAATTAATATAAAATGTAGCGTCTTTGTTTTAATTAACCTAAAAAAAGTCCAAGGAAATATTTTATCATAATGGTATAGGGTATAATAATAATAATAATAATAATAATAATAATAATAATAATAATAATAATAATAATAATAATGGATTATAACGGTTCTTATATTAGAAAAGTGTCATGTAGGTAAAATTTATTAGATTTTATTTATGAGATTATATTTAATAATTAGCTAGCAATTATATATATATAGATTTTAGCCCACAATCTTGGCATAAATCATAACATTTTAATTTGTTTATGCATTTCAAGAACACAAAAAATCAATCAGTATATTTCTAGAAAGTGCAAAGATTGCCAAAATTTTCAAAAGAAATAAACTTCCATTTTTATTTTTTTTTCACCATAGGTATTATAATTAGGTGTATAAATTTTACAACTAATATTAGAATTATATTAATTCAAATTAAGGGAACTTTTACTAACACAATCCCTATGATAAGCCTACTCACAAACTAACAAACTAAATATCACAAACTCATCACATAGCCATCTTTCTGGGCAGATGTAGCTGAGCTTTTCCATTGTGATATGTAAATTATCCCCATATTCCGAAACCGAGCCTTTTACCGGATTTTGTGCTGCTCGGGTTTCGAATGAACCATTTTGATCTGCTGTTAGTAACTGTTTGGTTCGGGTTTTATCGGATTCGATAAATTCGAAGCCGATAAAAAAGACGATGCATTATGAATATGAATATCAAATTGACAGATGAGAAATTTCATTCAGAATCACAAAATACAGAACATAAATGTGAAGCTGCAAAGACTCTTCATTACCATTCATTATTATTTCGTGTTCATCAAACACACATAAACTGAAAAACAAAATAAAAATAAAATTAAACTCACTGAAAAAGTTCTCTTCTTGCATAGAACACTAAGCAAATTATTCTCCTAAATGGCCGCAAACTAGGAAAACACGACGAAAATACTCAAAAACAGAACAAACTTACCACGAGCTTCAAATACACCTAAAAAAAGACCTCAAATTATTATTTTGTGTTCATCAAACACACATGTANACTGAAAAACAAAATAAAAATAAAATTAAACTCACAAAAAAAGTTCTCTTCTTGCATAGAACACACTAAGCAAATTATTCTCCTAGAAAACAGAACAAACTTACACCTAAAAGAAAGGCCTCAAATTTCGCTGCTAGCCGATGCCATAGTCGACAAAGACGAGCCCGAAAGCGAATCCGACAAATCCCTCCTCTTCAAATTACCCTCATCAACAACCCCTTCATCCTGCAGCAAAAACCCGTCGTCAAACGAGAGCCCGTCAAAGATACGCTCGATATCGTCCTCGAAATCCGTGCAGTCGAGCCAGCCTGGATCCTCGGAAGTTGGGTCGAAGGGAATCTCGGGCAGCTGTGGCATCTCGAAATCCGTGTCCAAGTATATATCCCAAGGGTGCTCGTGCGGTGGGCCCACCACAAGGGGTGCCACATCATCCATCGGCGGCTCGTGTGGCGGAGGCTGCTCGTCTGTCGACTTTTTCTCGTTTTCGGTCGGGTTTTCTTCCGGTCGGGTGACGAGGATTCTGAGTCCGATTCCGCCCGATTGGATTTTCTTGAGCTCGTCGGCATAAACGCTGATGTCGAAGTTCGTGACGGCGTTGGGGCCGCGTTGCTGGATGGCCGCCAGGTCGTACGCCTTGGCCGCTTCCTCTTGGGTGCCTGCATAGGAACTCTACTTGAATTCGACATTGTTTAGAATTAATCTGCTCAAGTTCAAGTTCAGCTCGTTCAGTTCAGTACTCTGGTTTTGACTACTCGTTAGGCCGACTCACAATGCGTATTATGAAATTTAAGAAAAAAGAAAATGTCCGTCCGCCCCTGAAAATTGAATTGAAGGGTCTCAAGAAAAAACTCTACTTGTACTCGACATTGATTGGAATCAATCTGCTCAAGTTCAGCTCGTTCAGTATTCGATTTTGACTAATCATTAGGCCGACTCACAATACGTATTATGAAATTCAAGAAAAAAGAAAATGTCCCTCCACCCCTGAAAATTAAATTGAATGAGAGTAAAAAAAACAAACTGTACTTGAATTAGACATTGCTTATAAGAATCAATCTGCTCAAGTTCATCTCGATTTTGACTAATCGTTAGGCTGACTCACAATACGTATTATGAAATACAAGACAAATAAAATGTCCCTGCACCCCTGAAAATTGAATTGACTCATAAAAAAAACACTACTTGAATTCGACATTTATTGGAATCAATCTGCTCAAGTTTAGCTCGTTTAGTACTCGGTTTTGACTAGGGTTGTAAACGAATCGAATCAAAGCGAATACTCAGATATCGATTCGGATTCGTTAAAATATTCGAAGATTCGAATTCGTATTCGATTCGTTAACGAACTCATTTTTTGATTCGTATTCGATTCGTTTAGAATATTCGAACATATTCGATTCGATTCGAATTCGTTTTCAAAAAAAATTATAATTAAAAAATATTATAATTACAAAAAATAATTTTTATTTTTCATATATTTTTACGAAAATTTGTTAATTTATAATGTTTTAATTTTTATGTCATAAAAATAGTAGAAATATAACAATATATATATATATATATATACATACATATTATAAACAAAATGTATACTATATATAATTTATAAAATTTATATAATTATTGTTAACGAATCGAATATCTCCAAATTTGAATTCGGATTCGTTTAACTTTCGAATATAAAACATTATTCGTATTCGAATTCGAATTCAAATATTTCGAATTCGAATCACGAATATCGAATTCGAATATCGAATCGAATTAAAAAAGTTTGATTTGCTTACAAGCCTAGTTTTGACTAATCGATAGGCTGACTCACAATATGTATTACTCCATAAAGGGAAAATGTGTCCCTCCACCTTTGAAATTGAATTGAAATTTTCATCTTTACTTAAGTTGGAATCATAAAGGGTCTCAACTGAAGAAAATAAAAAGATTCAATTGATTATCTTATTGCACTATCCGAAAAAAAAAAATCGGTTCACACGCTTTTATAACAAAGATTCGAAACTACACCAACTGCAATGTAGTCACCGTCTGAGTATCCAATGCTGAAAAGCTTTGGTTATTGCACTATAATTGTGTGTAGGGTAGGCTGAAATCTACCGGTTTTTTGTAATGGCATTCTTCATAACAAAATTCAAAATTGAGTAGTATTTGAGTAAACTAATTTGAATTCCAATAAAACGTACGCGATTGATTGGAATTAATATAAATAAAAAAATGATAAGTGGTAAAAAGAAAAATCAATTTTAATTAGTAAAAAAATAAGAAAACATTACTGTATGTTCCCAGGTAGAGATATTTATTTCCAGAAACACGTCCAATCCGAGCTTCCCATCGACCATTATGATGGTGCCTGTAATTTGTAATTGAGTAAAATAGTAAGAAAGTACAACCATTTGAAAAACAAAAAATTGATAAGTTTTTCACACAAACTAGTGTGTACCCCGTGCGATGCACGGGAACAATATTAAATTAACAATATTATAAATAGACCTCGAGTTTGAGTCAATGGCGGAAGTGAAAACTACTATTGATCGTATTTAAAAAGAGGAAGAAAAAAAAATAATTATAAATAAAAGAGGAGGATAAATAATACTTAATAATTATAAATTAAAGATTCGGGGTCAAACAATGTAAAATGATTTTGTATAAGAGAATATAAAAAAAATTGATTATACACCATTTCAAAATTATTATTATATTTTTTTGTATGGTTAGCTTAGAATATTTGTAAAAATATTAGTAATTAGACCGATGAAAATTAGCTTCTTAAAGTAGATAATGGATTTCTAGTAATAATTATGAATTGATTTCTATTTTATTTTATTTTTTCTTTTTAAAGATAATGGATTTCTAGTAATAATTATGAATTGATTTCTATTTTATTTTATTTTTTCAAATTTGTATAGATAAGAAATGAGATTTTTTAAACACCTAAGATCGTATGCAATGTGATTTTGTAACAGAAGAGATAAGCTCGTGTAGATTTATACTAAAAATAGGAAAAAGAAAAACAAATATTTATTATTAAAATGATAAACTAAGAAATAGGAAAAAGAGAAACAAATCTTTACACAATTAATGAGCAGAGTTTTTTGCCTATTCAAATTTGTCCAACAATTACTATATATAGGATATATTTAATGATTTTGGCGGGAAAAAGTTTCTAAATTTGTAAAAAGGTTATTCTTTTTATATAATGATAGATTTAATTGGAAATCTAGATTTCACCCGAATATTTAATGGCGTACGTCAGCGAAATTCTGATTTCCGACCAAAATTATCATAAAATTGATCCATTTAAATATTATAGAGCTATTATTAATTAACTGATTTCCAATATAATTAATATAATATAATGACTACCTTTACAAATTTTTCTTATGGAAAAACATGTAAATAAATATAAATATACATATTAAAGACCGTGATTTATCTGCAAATACAAATGTATTATTGAAAATAATTAGAGATTGAGAAGAACAGTTGCGACTTTTTTAATCATTAAAAAGAATAAAATACCTTGCCACACCACGATACTTTGAGACCCCTCTGGAAAATCCACTACTACGGCGGCGCAGCGTAGCTAAATACTCCTCATTAGACACTCTCTGCATGTCCTCAATCTCTCTGGCATAAGACTCGGCCTACATTTTTTTACAGTCAAAATTAATTAAGAATTGAACTAATGCAGGTCTTATTTAGTTTGACCCAAATATTTTAAATTAAACCACATAATTAAGGATAATAAAGAAAAGGAAAATATTGAATCCCATTTAATTAATCCCAGCAATAGTTGCTTTTTGAAGGCAGACCAAATGTAACACGTGTCAAGCACCCACATGCACTCAACCGCTCACTTAATTTGTCCACATCTACAAGGGCATGCACGCTCTTGAATAATCATTTTTTTTACAATACTATTATTTAAGTGTTATTTAGAAAAAATATATATATTTTTTATCAAATACTCAGAAATTTTAAATTAAGAGGTAGGTTTTGGTATATGCATTTTGTTCAAGATTTAATAAATTATTAAAGAAAAAAACCATATAGATAAATTGAATATGATACATTACGCTTTTAGACTTCAAAAAATTTAAATGAATGTTTCAAAAAATTTAAATTTTGAAAAAAGTCCGAATTAAACGCACAAAAATTCTAAAAATTAAACAATATTTAAAAATTCCTTAATAAACACTCCCCTAAATTGATATTAAGTATCAAATTAAAAAATTCGAACTAGTCACGCAATTTTAAGTATCACGAATCAAAAATAGTTTCATTAATTAATAATGTCAATTTCGAATTGTCAAATTCGGTCAATCAAACCTGCACATGATATGTCAATTTTTTTTTTTTTTTCGAATTCAGATTTACGCCTAAAATTATTCTCAAATCGATTCATTTTACAAAATTCTAGACTATAACTCTTTTAAAAAAAATATTTTAAAAAAAAATATTTAAAAAAAAAAAACAAAGATCCAATGTAATAGTGAATTCATATATATTCATACAGGAAAATTGAGGATGGTAGCTGGGCCCCAGTATTTTAAAGCAGCCAAGTCGTAAGTACGAGCCGCGTCCTCTTCATTATCATAAGCTCCTACACATCAATTTCACATAATAATTACATATCTCAAGTCTTAACTCTTGCATGCACACATAATTATTGAAATAAGAAAAAAAAAATTCAATCTCTAAACAAATTAAATAACAATATATTAATTAACGTTATTAAAATAGATCAGTAGCTTCAGGGCTCACCTAAATAGACTGTGAAAGCGACATTTCGATTTTGAAGCAACCCAAGGATATCATCCCACATATCAAACAATAAATTGAAGTCAGTCAGATTTCAATAAATTAATTAATTAACTAATTTGATTTAGTTACTGCAGAAAAAAAAAACCATGATTAAGTAACATGTGACAAAAGTTAATTATTAAATATTAAATAAAAGATAAACTAATTAAAAGATCACAGATCTCCTGATTTCACTTTCACCTTTTTGGTAAAATCGTTACCACCTTTTTTGTTACTCTCAAGAAAGTTAGTAAAAAAAACAAACTTAAATCAGAAAATCATTACAAAAAAAAAAGGAGTTATTTTAAAAATAATTAAATAACTAAATAATAAACAAATAAATGAAAGAAAAGAAATCCCACTTTGCCTTCCTCTCTTGTTCTGAATGCTGTTCCAAGTAGTCTTGTCCCACAGGTGAGCCTCAAATCTCCCGGTCCATCTATGCCTGCACCACCACCCTTACTTAACATTATTTAAAAATAAAAATAAAAAAAAAATAATTAAATTAAAAAGAAATTGACAGCATGCATGCACTTCATAACATGCAAGAACAAGATTTCAGCTAAAATTAAAAATTAAAAAAAAAAATGGCTGCCGATTTGGATGACGTGGCAGAACTATCTTGATTTGGATGCACACACACCTGGTGACACCTCTAAATGTTGAACTTCTTGATTTGGATGACGTGGCAGAGCTATCAGGTGCGTCGGCTGCCGATTTCTTGCTGGTCCTAACGCGCCTCGGTTTTTTGACCGGCTCGACCGGTTTATCGAGCGTGTTGTTGGATTTCGTTATTTGCGGGTCGAGTTTTTGNGTCACGGTTGAAATGTGTGTAATGATGGGTGTGTTGTGTTGATTTGGAATCATATAAGGGGTAAAGGGGGTGGGGTGGGGTAGGGTGGGGCCCATGTAGTGTTAAAGGGAGATATTTTATGATGGACAAAAAAATATTGGGAAATTTTCATTTATCCTATAAGATTTAGATTTATTTGCGATTTTGCAGCTACTATAAATTTAATTGCATATGTACTTAAAACTATTGAATTAATTGGATATTTACTTGATTTCAGTTACTATACAAAAAAATGCTGACTCATAAGAGAGAAAAATGAAAATAAATAACTTACTAGTATTCGACCTGTGCATTTGCACATATATAAATAAATTATTGTGAGTCTGTACATATAATGATTAATTATTTTTCTTTCACTTTTTTGCAGACCAAATTTACAATTAAAAGAGTTGAAATTTTTTTTTTAAATTGCGTTTATCTGATTGGATGTAATGTATATTTTGGTACGTCTTTTATTTGTGAATTATTTATTATTTATTTAGGAATTTCAAATATATTTTTTATTTTCAAAAAAAAAAAATTAAATGTAACAACAATAATAACATCTAATCACATTATACGGTCATTGTCATTAATCAAAAGTTTAAAATGATTTTTGTAATTCTTAAGTGATGAGTATTAATTATTTAATGATTAAATGAAAGATTAAAATACATCAAAATGTAACGGTTTTTGGAGGGAAATTTGTTAAATTGCCACATAGGTAAAATTAAATAGGTTTTATTAAATTCTATTAGCTAGTAATTATATTATATAGATACTCATTTAATTTCTTAATTCGCGCAACTGAAATTCCTTAAGTCACGCAGCTGTCAGGTGGTATATATTGCGTTTATGTTGGTATATATTCAGTATATGTTGCAATCAGTTTATGCTAGCTATAAATTAATTTTATACATAAAAATTATGTCTCGCAATAAATTTTTTTATCATATACCGAAAATATACTGAATATAAATCATACATATAAAAAAATCAATTTATGCTTTGTCAAAATTGTTTTCTAATACATGACATATACTGAACAGTGTACAAAAAAATCTTCTAATATATTGACGTGATCATATACTGTACATATACCGTAGATATACTGCACATATGCTACAATCCAAAGTCTGCGAATGTCAATGTAATCTACATACAGTCAAATATCCCTAAACAAATCGAAACAAAATTCAATTTTCCTGCATCAATGGCTCGCCCAGGATTTTGCTGGTGACGGGCTCGGCCCCAAACCCTTGCAAAAACGCCGTCGGAGACCATTACCTTCTGAAATTCCTCAAGAACAAGATCGATTACCGCAGGATCCACGGGATCGAAATCGTGTATAACATGGCTAATCTGGATAAAGAAATGACCGGATATTGGGCAAAACTCCCTCTAATCAGGCAGCTAATGTTATCCCATCCTGAATTCGAGTGGGTCTGGTGGATAGACAGTGATGCCCTTTTCACAGACTTCACCTTCGAGATACCCTTCTCGAAATACAAGGATCACAATATGATCCTCCATGGAAATCAAGATTTGCTTTTTCAGTAGCAATCTTGGGTATCTCTCAACACTGAGATCTTCCTGCTGAGAAACTGTCAATGGTCTCTTGATTTGCTCGATGCTTGGGCTCCAATGGGGCCAAAGGGGCCTGCCCGTGAAGAATCCGGCAAAATTCTAACAGCCAATCTGAAGGACCGACCGAATTTCGAAGCAGACGATCAGTCAGCCTTGATATATCTCTTAATTTCGCAGAAACAAAAGTTGGCAAGCAAAGTATTTATCGAAAATTCCTATCTTCTGCACGGATGGTGAAATGGGGAGGGCCGTGGGAGGATGTTGCAGAAGAAAAGAAAACGGAGAAGGAAAAGAAAATGGGAAAAGAAAAGAAAAAGGTATTAATTATCTCAATTAATCAATAATTGATTCAATTCCATATTTAAATCATAATTAATAACTTATAAAATCTGGTATATGTGTAAATATGTTGGGGTGATTTTGTATCCTTGCAAATAAATATTAATTGGATGTAAATATTTAATATAAAAAATATATGATTGTATAGGGTGTAAATTCCTAAAAAATATTTATAAAATTACGGTAAGTCTTCTGTTTGGTCAGCCTATTCGTTAGGCTGACATATGTTTATTATATATTATATATGTATATGTATCTATTCGAAAATGTTTGTACTTTGAAAACAACGATATTAAATATAAAAAAATGTATTGATATTTAATAGTATAAGTATGCATTTTTGTTGGTGTAGTAAGACTCGCTTAACTGTTAAGTTGTCTCATAGAAGAATTTGTGATAAAATTATAAGGGTTGAACTGCAAATTCAACCTCAATTTTTATTTTTGGCATCGTTTGGAGTTATTTTTGAATCTTTTAGTTTTGGCTGTAGAGAGCATGAGCTTTTGATTTTTTCGAATTGAAGTACGCGGCCAGCAGATCGGTTGTCTGAAGCTTTTTACGTGTTTGTCTCGTTATTAATTGATGCTATACTTAATTTGCAATCTAGCAAAATTTAAGATGTGCGTGACAAAAGATATCAATTCAATCAAGAGCTACAATTAATACAACAAAACAAACAAAACATAGAGATTCAGGTTCAGTATGATTTATTCGAATATTACGAATTATTTTGTATTACGACTCATTGATTAGCCGAGGAACATATCATCTTTTGTGAACATAAATACATATTTGTACAATCAAAATCATTATTTTGCTTAGCTTTTTTGGAGTATATAAGTCGCTTTGCAGTGAAAATATGTATACTTATGGAAAAAAAAAATCATTATCCAATATAATCTCTTACAGCGCGATTGGATATATATATATATAACAAAATTTTTTGTATGTTCAATCGATATTTATCATATTGAAAATGAAAATAAACTAAAATAAATTTAATTAATCGCGTTCACTATTTATATATATCATCTCACATTTTTCTATATCATCTCACCAACACAATAAAAATTTAAAATATACTATATTTTCCACACATTGACACTGTCCATCAACACACACAATTTTAACTATTATTTTATCATTCAATATTCTATTATTTTTTTTATCACAACAATTCTTATCATTACATTTTTTCTTATTCTATATTATTCATTCACGTTATTTNGTTATTTAAAAAAAAAAAAAAATCACCCTTCTCAACTCACTCTTCCTGATACCAATCTAGATGTCAAAATTATCTCACTTTTTATAGAAATATTTTATTTTCACCCTTGCAGACGAGACAAAATTTTTTGAAAAAAAAATCTCATATATCCATTCGCCTAAAAATTCCTAATTTTTTTATTCTAAACGATAACATATTATTAAATTCAAAATTGAGACTAATTACAAGATACAAAACTTGATGTCAATTAATATCAACACAACTTAGATAGTAGTCTATGCCCAAAGTGAATAGGAAATGCCAAACACATGGCAAACCCTATAAAATTAAACCAAAACACACAAACTACAGCTAACATTACTACAAATCTGCACGAGACGGAACTAGACCATTCTTCTATTATTCGTACCCGACAGAACTAGAAACCAAAAGATTGGTCTTAACAAAACAACACGAACAAAAACACATAAAAAAACCAATAAAAACAAACAACACTAGGATATTGTTTATTTATAAAATTATTCAATTCATACTTAAAATCTAACTCAACTTATCATCACTTCATATCATCTTTCTCCTACTTTTACATCAAATCAATTTTAACTATTACATTTTAAATATTATTTTAATATAAACTCAAAATCACACTAATAACTAATCATACCACATTTTTTAAAATTAACGATGATTAACTAAAAAATTCATTTTGAGCAGATATATTTGTATCTAAGCTAGCTCTAACTAACAATAGACTAAAGCCCTCCCCAACTTCCAAAATACTACATCGCGGCACGCACACAAAGCCAACAAAACGACGATGGCCAGACAACGAAGAACAGAATCTCGACACTAAATTGCCAATTCAATTACTCCACAACTCTGAAATGGCTAACGACTAATCAAATTCGAGACCAACGCACGAAATCCATCCTTCAAATACGGAACCATCGACTAACAATAGACTAAAGACTCCTTAACTCATATACACACATTATATTTTTTTCATTTTTTTCCTAAAAGTAAAATAAAATAAAAT